GGCTGTTTTAGTACATTATGATCTCATGGGTTTGAACATTTTAAAAATAAATACATTAGCCCTAGCCAGTTTGCTCAGTGGACAGAGCGTCGGCCTGAGGACTGAAGGGTCCCAGGTTTGATTCCAGTCAAGAGCACATATCTTGGTTGCAGGCTCCTGACCCTGGTGGGGGGCACACGGGAGGAAACCAATTGATGTGTCTCACATAGGTGCTTCTCTCTGTCTCTCCCTCTCCTTCCTACTCTCTCTAAAAATCAATAGAAAAATATACTCAGATGAGGATTAATATAAAAAATTAATTTAAAAAGATAAGTACAGTTATATGTATGTGTATGTAGTATATATATGTGTGTGTATAAGTATTTCCCAAAAATTATCCCATCTTTGGCCAATGCAAGCACCTTCAGTTACCTCCTAGAGCAGTGGTTCTCAACCTTCCTAATGCCACGACCCTTTCATACAGTTCCTCATGTTGTGGTGACCCCAACCATAAAATTATTTTCGTTGCTACTTCTTAACTGTAATTTTGCTACTGTTATGAATCGTAATGTAATTATCTGATATGCAGGATGTATTTTCATTGTTACAAATTGAACATAAAGCATAGTGATTAATTACAAAAACAATATGTAATTATGTGTTTCCCGATGGTCTTAGGCGACCCCTGTGAAAGGGTCGTTCGACCCCCAAAGGGGTCGCGACCCACAGGTTGAGAACCGCTGTCCTAGAGCCTCCAACACGTCCTAGTAATTCTTTATAACTTTCTTGCTTTCAGGTAAAACAAGACATTCTACTCATCTTCATTTTCTGCACTATAATTGTCACTTTCAAACGAGAAGTGAAGACAGAAAAAGTGGGGGGAGTGGGGAGTGGCTTCTAGAGAGAAGCCCTAATAAGCCGAAGACCAGTGAGGCTGCCTGGTCCAGCCCTACCCCTTTCCCTGACCTCTGACCCACAGGGCCCAGTACCTCCCAGCCCAGCTAGAGTCTGCTCTCCAGCAGCCTATTCACACAGTGCTCCTCAGCCCCAGAACTCAGGGAGTGCGGCACACAGAAGCTCTTGAGGAAGCAGCACTGCTTGCTTTCCCAGTGGCATCTGGGTTTCAGAACTGCTTCTGGACAAGGTGGCACCCGTAAGAAAGAATTAAACTCTATATACTGACTTCAGCAAAGCAGAGTTTCTCAGGGCCCAAATGCCAGCAAAAGGGAAAAACAAAGGAGCAATGAGGCAATAGGAACTGGTCACAAAAGCTTTCAATATTTATTCACATGGATTCCTTTATTATTCTGACTTAAGAGCTATTTACCTAGGCCCTATTTTTACACAGGTGTCATTACATACCAATCACAGCAAGATAGTCTACTGAGGGACAATATCCTATCTTCCCCTTTATTAGTCATACTAGAGGCCTGGTGCATGACATTCATGCACTGGGGGGGGGGGGGGGGCTCAGCTGGCCTGCACCCTCTCACAGTCCAGGACCCCTTGGGGGATGTCCGCCTGCCGGCTTAGGCCCACTCCCTTAAGGGTCCTGCGCTGAGCATCTGCCACCTGGTGGTCAGTGTGCGTCATAGCGACCGGTCATCCTGCCATTCGGTCGATTTGCATATTAGGGTTTTACTATATAGGAGGATTTCCCCAGCAGACTTAGGCTATTTGATTCCATTTATCCAGACTGACACAAATTTGTTTCAGCTAAAAATGACTGAGGGGTCAGCACACTTTTCTGTAAAGAGCCAGCTAATTAGTATTTTAGGCTTTGCAGGCCACATACTGTTTCTATTGTACATTCTTTTTCCTTTACAGTGGCTCTAGTGGCACTTGGCCCAGAGGCCTACAATTTGCCAACTCGTGGCCTAAAATATAGCTGTCCAAAGAGACAGCTTCTTTTATCCATCAAAAATTTGCTCTCTAGCCTGGCCAATGTGGCTCAGTTGGTTGAGCATCACCCCATGCACCAGGAAGTCACCCATTTGATTCCAGGTCAGGGCACATGTCTGGGTTGCAGGCTTGACCCCACTGGGGGTGTGTAGGAGACAGCTGACCAATGCTTCCCTCTCTCTGAAATCAATACTTTTTTTTTTAATTTGCTCTCTAACTCAGTTTTGGGGACATCAAGTCTTTTGTATTTTTCATTTAATCTACAGACAGGCACAATGCAGTAAAGCTCAGAGCTGCCACACCTAGCCACTTTCCTTCTCAGCAGGGCAACTCCCGAGCTGCTCTCGAAAGCTGCTTTAACTGATGAGCACAATCAATTCCACTAACAGAAATGCAAGAAAGTCTACGGTAACTTTAGCTTGCTTGTCTGGAAGAGAGATGGTTAAGGAGCCAGGAAGCGACTGGGGACACAAAAGTCAAGAGACATTTGCAACAGACATTTTCTTTTCTTTTTTTTAAATATACTTTATTGATTTTTTTTACAGAGAGGAAGGAAGAGGGATAGAGAGTTAGAAACATCGATCAGCTGCCTCCTGCACACCCCCTACTGGGGATGTGCCTGCAACCAAGGTACATGCCCTTGACCAGAATCGAACCTGGGACCCTTCAGTCTGCAAGCCGATGCTCTATCCACTGAGCCAAACCAGTTAGGGCTGCAACAGACATTTTCTTTGTGGCTACTAATATTTCCTCAAAACATTTCATTAATGATACTTTTCCAAACTAAACCTGCTAATATTATTAATAAAGAGCTGTCAAGGATTCCAAGAAAACTGTCAAAATTCTATACTCTAAAAAAAAAAAAAGAGAGAGATTTTCCAAGATACCTTTTAGGACAATCAACTATCCATCACTACAGTTCAGTGAGTTGCATCCACCTGTCACCTCTCTTCTATCCTGGCTTCATTCATATCCCGCATCCCACTGAGGGTCAGCCAATAACACATTCTGAGGAAAACATTTGCCAAGCAATCACTTTATTGTTCAAACAAGGCTTGGGGAGGTACCACTTGAAGTTTAATATTCAAATGAAATCAGAGCCCAACCGGTTTGGCTCAATAGCTAGAGTGCTGGCCTGCAGACCAAAGGGACCCAGGTTCGATTCCAGTCAAGGGCAAATACCTTGGTTGCCCTAGTCAGGGCCTGTGCCGGAGGCAACCAACCTATGTGTTTCTCTCACATCAATGTTTCTCTCTCTCTGTCTTTCCCTCTCTCTTCCACTTTCCCTAAAAAATCAATGGAAAAATATGCTCATGTGAGGATTAACAAAAAAATTAAAAATCATAAACATTACATTCTGTTAAAACAAAATTTGTCCAAAAAATATATATCCAAGCCAAAAGTCCACATATGTTCACTAAAGACATAGTAAAACTCTAACCACAAAGGTGTTTTAGGAACTGTTTTAGTAAATTCTGAGCTGGCTGGTCTAGCATAGCTGGATAGAATTTCAATTCACATCACAGTTTTTAAGACCTTGACTATCATTGGCATCATTAAAAAGCTGATACTCACACTTTCATGTAGTATTTATTATTAAGGGTCAATGAATATGTTTTATGAAAAACAGAAACCCCACTCCTTCAAGGCAAGGGCCCTCTTACACATACAATCTTTCCTCCTAGGGCACTGTCTGTGCTGGGGGACAGCACCTTAGAAATGGGCCCAGCAGTGATACCATCCTACCTAGGCCCCTTGGGATCTGACTAAGCTTGTTAGGCCAGAGAAGGATAAAATAAACACAGAAAATATAAAAAATGAGATGCTCAAAAGGCTCTGCCACATTAGGCATGGACATAAAATAATCAGAAAAAATATAGAATCATTCAATTGTGAAGAAATCTTAAATTTTTAAAATAAAAAACATATTTAGCTGGATTATATAAACATGTGAAAACATCTTCTACACTAATGAAAGACAAAGATATTAACTGACCGTACCTTTGCTACACCCACCAGCCAATCAGGAGTGAATATGCAAATTAACCCAACAAAGATGGCAGTTAATTTGCATACACAGGTGCCCAATGAAGACTGAAGACAGTGTAGAAGGAAGCCAAGCACTGCAGAAGGGAGCCAAGCGGCAGAGAAGGGAACAGATCAGAGGTAGCAGAGACGGGAGTGGAGCTGAAGCAGCGGGCACGGGAGGGAGCGAAGTGGTGGAGAAGGGAGGGAGCCAAGGCAGCGGGGAAGGGAGGGAGCGAGGCAGTAGAAAATGAAGGGAGCAAGGCAGCGGAGAAGGAAGGGAGCCGAGGGAACGGAGAAGGGAGGGAGTGGAGCAGCGGAGAAGGGAAGGAGCTGAGGGTGAAGTGAGGGAGCGAGGCAGCAGAGAAGGGAGCGAAGCCCTTCGCTCCCTTCTCTGCTTCGCTCGGGTCTCAGAAAGCCCTATTCTTGCAGGAATAGGCCCGAGGAAGCCCTATTCTTGCAGGAATCTTCCTGCAACGGGCCTCTAGTCTATATATATAAAAGCCTAAGTGACCCTTTGACTGGTAGCTATGATGTGCACTGACCACCAGGGGGCAGATGCTCAACACACAGGCATGGAAACATGGAACAGACTGAAGAATCTCAGAGGGAAGGGGGGAGAGGGGAAGGTGGGAAGAGATTAACCAAAGATCTTACATGTATACTAGAGGCCTGGTGCACGGATTCGTGCTCCGGTGGGGTCCCTCAGCCAGGCCTGCGGGGATTGGGCAGAAACTGGCAGTCTGACATCCTCCGAGGGTCCTGGATTGTGATAGGGCACAAGCCAGGTTGAGGGACCCCACCGGTGAACAAATCTGTGCACCGGGCCTGTAGTAATATAATAATGCTGGCTAAAAATACAACACAAAATAGGTTAACTGACTAATACATAAAAATGTACACATATCCCACTAAACTTGGGTTCTATACATTTTGGGAAATGCTGTTCTAGATCAGTAGTTCTCAACCAGGTGAGACTTTTGTCCCCCAGGGACATTGGGCAATATTGGAAGACATTTTTTATTGTTACAACTGGGGCTAGGATCCCACTAGCCTCTAGTATGTAGGGACCAAGAATGCTGCTAAAATCTTACAATGCATGGAACAGCCTCCTCCACACAGACATTTCTAGTGCCAAATGTCAACAGTGCCATGGTTTACTGCTGCTCTAGAGAATTGCAGAGGTATTTCCACTTATGCTGCAGGAAATTCTGCTGAAATAAAAGTTTTTAAAAAAGTATACATAAACACATAACTGAATTTAGAAGAATACAAAATTAAATTCCTAATTTTTTGATGCAAAAAGTACAAATCTTGATAACATGTCTTAGACAAAATATAACACGTATTGAAAGATTAGCAAGGTTTCATTGAGGCATTATTTTTGCAAAAAATAATAAGCTGTTTTTGGAAACTGCAATCACAGTACCTATCAATCCACAGTCCCTTCTGAGTGACCCAACCCCACTGCAGACCCTGCTGAAAGGGGGCAGCTGTGTAGATGGCAGGAGTCCATCTGTTCCTGGGGACAGGACCAGGCAGCTCCTAGGTGGGATGGAGGGAAAGAGAAAGAGGATGAGATGGCAGAGCTGGGCCCAAGCTGAAAGGGGGGTGGAGAACATGCAATTGACAGTGTGCAGGAGCAGACAGTGGAGAGTCCAACAGAGAGGGAGGGCCAAGACCCCATGTGGGCAGCCAGACTCTGCCAGGACCCAAAATTGGCCCCAGGCCCAGCACTATGGTGATCCCTGCAATCCCGCTAGATTCGATTTTCCTTAACCTTGTTGGACCACAGACTCCTGGACTGGAAGTCAGCCTGCTCCCTGCCATCCTGAGACCTGACTAAATAGCCAGTCATTCTGTGTCAGCCACAGGTGGCAAACAAGAAAAGCAGCATTTCCAGTAAACATGCCCATAGCCTCACCTCACATGGCTTTACTGGGCTAGAGGCGTGCCAAAGATGCCTGCCTTATGGTGATGGCATCATCCTGAGCAGAAAAATTTCCCAAGACAGGAGCACCATCAATCCACAATGAGCAGCTTACTCTAAGAAAGGGAAGGCAGGGCCTGATAGCTGGACCTGTCAGGATAACTAAATCCTATCACTTAGAGAAATACAACAAAATGTATCCAAAATGTTCACTAGCTCACAGGCCCTCAGTCTCTCAACCCTTTTCAAGATTTTGAAAAAACTGTTGAACCTTCTCCCAAGGAATCCTACATAGAGTAAGAAAGGTACGTTGTCTCCTTCCTAGGTCCCTGGGATGGGAGCTTGAAGCCACCTTGTCAGAAAGCACATTTGCTGTGAAAGTATGTGACCCTCTGAGTGAACTTCCCAGAAAATGAACAGACTGGCAGAGGGGCAAAACACCAACACAAGGGCACCTGGTGGCTGGCGGTGCTCTGCACACACTCTGGTGGGCAGGACAACGTGGCAGATGCAGTAGCCTCACTTGACAACCTTTGCAACCAGGCCTTCCACCAAATGCCAATCATCCCTTGAATGTTTATTCTAAAGATTTCCAGTTCAAATGTTTTTCTACACTGTATTTCCATGTCCTATATTGAAGGAGAATAGAGTTTGGGATCCCACTTTGGCATATTGATTATTTTAGGCTAGTTAATTTTAAGAAACAGCAGACCTGGGAGAAGCTCTGAAAACCCAGAAGTTACCCTCTGTAAAACTCAATTACATTTGTAAGGGCAACCTCCATCTGTAACGGGGTTCCCTCACCGTACCTGTCCTGCTTTCACTGTCAGAGAAGGCAGGGACTTAAAGCTGCAGAAAAACCTTAGGCTGGTTTTCTGTGCTTTGCCTGGGAACCTCCCGTAACAGACTCTCCACCCCCAATGCCATCTTTTGTCACTAGCTGAAGATGGTACTGAAGATGATGGCTCCCGCCATTTTGGCGAGTTACTAGTGTTCCTGGGTCTCTCCAAAGTATGTCACTAAACTTTAATTTGCTTTTCTCCTACTAACCTGTCTTCTGTTAATCTGATTATTACTCCAGCCAGAACTTGAAGGGCAGAGGATGATCTTCCTCCCTAAGTGTCTTCTTAAACAGCTTGTACAAAATAGAAGGCTAACTTATCACAGCTGTGTGTGGCCTGTCCCAATGGTCTAAGACAGTGCCCCCATGTGGCGCCTGCAGCTTCCCTCACCCTCACCCTCTGCGACCCCAGCCTGCTAAGTTCTGACTTCCCTTATTTGAACTGTTATTTTCTCCTCCCCAATGTCATCAGTACAATCATTTTAGGAAGGAAAACAGGGCACACACATATTCCTACTAACGGATGGGCTGAGGGCAAGGCGAGTTCTGGTGCAGAAGTTCTGAACTTGGTGTCTGTGAACCTGACTGAGAAAAAGTATCACATCTTTACTTGTAATCATCTCTGGCTGAAATCTAGTTCTCACTCAATTATGAGGGTAGACATTAAATCCTGGAGTTCCAGCCCAGCCGGCGTGGCTCAGTGGTTGAGTGTCAACCTCTGAACCAGGTCATGGTTCGCTGTCAGGGCACATGCCCGGGTTGCGGGCTCAATCCCCAGTGTGGGGTGTGCAGGAGGCAGCTGATCAATGATTCCCTCTCATCATTGACGTTTCTATCTCTCCCTCTCCCGTTCTCTCTGAAATCATTAAAAAAATTTTTAAAATCTTGGCATTCCAGCAGTACCTGTAGCTTTTTTAAAAAAAAAAAATTATTGCCGAAACCGGTTTGGCTCAGTGGATAGAGCGTCGGCCTGCGGACTGAAGGGTCCCGGGTTCGATTCCGGTCGGGGGCATGTACCTGGGTTGCGGGCACATCCCCGGTGGGAGATGTGCAGGAGGCGGCTGATCGATGTTTCTCTCTCATCAATGTTTCTGGCTCTCTGTCTCTCTCCCTTCCTCTCTGTAAAAAATCAATAAAATATATTTAAAAAAAAAAAAATTATTGATTTTTTACAGAGGAAGGGAGAGGGACAGAGAGTTAGAAACATCGATGAGAGAAAAACATCGATCAGCTGCCTCCTGCACAGCCCCGACTGGGAACGTGCCCGACACTCCATCCACTGAGCCAAACCAGTCAGGGCAGTACCTGTAGCTTTTTCACCAACAGAAACCACAAGTATCTTCACAAAGCGCTAGAGTTGCTTCAGAAATTTCAAGTTGTCAGTTACTTGTCACCGCTGCAAAGGAACTGCTACAGCCAGTGCTGTCTGTTACTAATTCAGCTAATAAACGCACTGAGGAACTTCATCACCAGTTTGGTTCGATATTTTGGTAACTGTATTTCAGTAATAATGGGTTCTCTTCTTGATCCTATTTTATCTAAAACTGATTTTTTTCAACAGTGCGCCACATGAATTTTTAAAACACGCAATACCTGCCTAGTCAGGGGCACTGACCCCTTCCCCTTAGACTGTCAAATAAAGAACGACAACAGCCAACACAACAATAGCTGTCTGGTGTGAATGAATCAAAGTTAAACCAATTATCTTTTGTCTGATTGGCAGAAAATGTAGTTTTTGGTGTGTCACGCGGAGAAAGGCTGAACACCGCTGACCCACACCGGCTTCACCGAGAGCCCAGAGGCCGGGCGAACACAGGAAAGGCTCCCAAGGGCCGATGCTTTGCATCAGCAGCAGTTTCAGGGTTTTCTTTTAAACGGTCTCAAAATGCTTAATAATTTGCAACAAAAGTGAAAGTTCTAACTAGAATGTTCCTGCTCATGAAGTGCTTTTCTGAAGTTACAGCTGGCACGGATGCGAAGGGATGTAAACTAGGGGCAGGTGTGCACCCAGCAGGGTTCGCATGCAACCTGCTGACCGTCAGGCACAAGCACGGACCCTCCGGTGAGGTCCCGTTTCAGGCCGCTTTCCAGTCTAAAGCAGGAAGCGCACTTTATTGCTGGGCAGAAGGCGCCGGACAGTGAGCGGCGCTCAACGTGCACGGGACAGTCCGTCAAACACCAAGGGGGTGACGCGCTCGCCACTCTCCACTCGGAAACGGGGGAAGCGAGGGAAGGCAGGTGGACGGGCAGGCTGCCATCTTCCCAATCAATGCGCCAGACTCGGGTGCATCACCAACCGCCTGCGAACTTCACCTCAGGCCTTCCTCCGCAGCAGCTAGAATGTCCTGCATAACGTATTCTGTAATTTGTTTCAGCATGATGCATGGTGTAAATATTCCTTTTCCGATGTCAGAAACATCATAGTTAGACCCAACTGAAGCCGAAGGTTTCGTTTACCCTAAAGTGGAAGCGCTCACTTATTAAGGGGGGGGGGGGGGGGAGTAGCTTTTTATAGAAAGCGAACTCTTACAACCTAAATTATTAAGTTAAATTATACCTGACACGTCAGATACATCCTGGACGGCTGCAAGGCTGCGATCAAACTCACCAAACGCACATCTGCTTAAGGACCCCCCGCCCCCCGGGTGCCTTCCGTCCCCGGCCACGATTCCGACGCGAGCAGCACCTCCAGGCACTGAGGGGCCCCCCCAGGAGGAGACCCCAACTGGAGTCGCAGGGCCGCTCAGGGCACCTCCAGAGCCGCAGGAAGAAATCAACAGGCTCCACTTTCCCAATTCTCCTGCCGTGACTCACGACCGCTTCCCACAGGAATGAGAGGTTCCGGCGAGCGCCCGGCCAGGTCCGACACGTCCGCTCACTCAGTCGGCCGTTTACGATAAGCGACCCCTTCGTCACCAACTCCAGGAACCCGCACCCCGGCCTGAGGCACCGCGCCCGGCACCCCGTCAGGCTGCAGCCGGCTCCCCCGCAGGTCCGCACCCCCGGGCCCGCCCCCACCCCGCCAACCCCCGCAGGGCCCGCGGTACCCGCACCGCCCGAGGCGCACGGGGTCGACGGGGCGCGCCCCTCCGACCGCCGCACCCGCCATCTTCCCGCCTCCCGCCCCGCGGATCAGCCCCCGCGGCCGCCGCACCAACCGCGGGGCCGCGCTGCCCTCACGCCGGGCCCCGCCCCCGCGCGCCCCCGCGCCCCTCACGCCGGCCCCGCCCCGCCTGCGCCCGCGCGCCCCCCACCCCCGCCCCGCCCCCGCCTGCGCCCGGGCGCGCGCCGCGCTCCGTGAGGAACGGTTAAGAGCGCGCGCCTCACAACGGGCCCCGAGCGGCAGCGGCGGCGGCTTCCAGAAATTTCCGCGTCCGTAAACCCACACTGAGAAACAAGGTGGGCGCGCCCCCGCGGCTGCCCAGCAGACAACGCCCCTCCCCGAGCCCTTGGTTCCCCTCCCCCACAAGCACCCCCTCCCCGCCCCCTGCCCCGGGCGGCGGGTCCGGCGCGGCCCTCCCGGGCGACTGCGGCCCAGGGAGACCCAGGCGGTGGCGACGGGGCGGCGGCTGCGGCGCCGGCGGGCCAGCGTGATTGATAGGGACGGGGCGGCGGAGCGGCGGCGGCGGCGGAGCGGTTGAGTGACAGCTTACCTGGGTGCCAATCTTCATCACACTGACAAGCGGCTGCAGCAATCGGGACCCGCAGTGCCGCGCCCGCGTCCAACCGTCACGCCGACGCTGGGCCACGCGACACAGCCTCGCTCAATGGGAGGAGGGCGACGCCGACGCGCGCCGCATCAATATTCAGATAGGGGGCGGGGCCAACCAGACTCGGGCCCCGCCCCGTCCCTGCGCCGCAGCGGCGCGGGGCGTGGCCTGCCTTCCGGGGGTGGAGAACGAGGCGGGGGCGGGCGGCGGCCGGCCCCGCCCCCGCCTCGCGCCCGAGCCAGGCCCCGCCCCCAGCCCGCCGAGCTTCCCGCCTCATGACTATGCAGCGGAAGGCGTGACCTGGGCGCGCGCCACGCCCCCTCCGCTCGCTCTCCAGCGGCCAGAGAGAGCTGAGCAGCGGGCTTGGGTGGGCGGAACCGTGGGGAAAGGAGGTACCAGCCCCTCTGCGCGCGCCCATCGCAGGTGGTCCCGGGCCGACTCGCGTTGCCCTCAGAGGCCCTTGGAGGTTGGCTTCACGGGCGCCCGGCTCCGAACCCACTCGGCCTGCGCGCGCCCCTTTGTGTACAGCTCCCGCCGCCTCCCGGTGGACGCGAGCCCAGACCGCACTGTGGCCCGCCGGCTGTCTCTGCCCAACAAACTGGCCTGGCCCTGGGCTCCGTCTGTCCCCGGCATGCGGGTTCCAGCCACCGACGCTGGCACGCCTCTGGTCCAGTCCCGTGCTTTGCCTTCAGTACACCTGTCCCCCAGGTGACCTGTGCAGGCCTGTCAGCAGGTGAAGTGGCTTCCCTGGGGGACATGGAGAGTGTCGCCTATCTCAGGTGGACTTTCACAGGCTACTGCAGTGCACCCATGGGTCCCGCTGTGGGCTTGCTCTCCAAGACTTGAAGGGAAGTCATCACCTGCCCTAGCACAGAGGCATGGGGTTTGTCCCACTGGCCATTCATTTAAATATATACTAGAGGCCTGATGCACAAAATTCATGCAAAAATAGGCCTTCCTTCCCCCAGCGGCTTCCCTCTGGCACCTGGGACCCATGCTTCCCTTGCAGCCCAGGCTTCGTCTGGAAGGTCATCTGGAAGGATGCTGGTCTAATTAGCATATTACACTTTTATTATATAGGACTAGAGGCCCATTGCACGAAGATTCATGCAATAGGCCTTCTTTCCCCTGGCTGCCAGCACCAGTTTTCCTCTGGCACCCGGGACCCAGACCTTCACTCTGGCCACAGCCTTCCATCTTCGCTCTGGACACAGTCTTCGCTGCGGCTAGAGCCTTCAGTCTTTGCTCCTCGCTCCAGCAGGAGTCTTCAGTCTCCGGCCAAAACTGCTCCTGTAGCTCCTTTTGCCCCCCCACCCCCTTCTCAGAGCTTGATCGCTGCTTCGCCTGCAGACCTCGCCAATGGGCTCCTGGGTTCCAGGGGGCCGCCTTGCCTGTGGCCCGGCTTTCCAATCACAATCACGGCTGCAGGCAAGGAGGCTCCTGGGTCCTGGGGGGTCGCCTTGCTTGCGGCCTGGCTTTCCGGCGGCTCCTGGGGTCGCACACGGGGGCCTGGATGGTGGCTCCCGGTGTCCCGCCCTGCCTGCAGTATGCAAATTAGCCGTCATCTTTGTTGGTGGTTAATTTGCATATCGTGCTGATTAGCCCATGGGAGGCATAGCGAAGGTACGGTCAATTACCATGTTTGTCTATTATTAGATAGGATATGTGTGTATATGTATATATGTATATAAATATGTACATATATATTAATTTCAAGGAGGAAGGGAGAGGGAAAGAGAAACATCAATGATGAGAGAGAATCATTGATGGGCCACTTCCTGCATGCCCCCTACTGGGGATCCAGCCCACAACCTGGCATGTGCCCTGACCCTGAATCAAACCCTGACCTCCAGGTTCATAGGTCGAGGCTCAACCACTGAGTGACACCTGGCTTGACCATTCATTTTTGCAGAAACATTCCCACCTTGCCTGGTTGGTGTGGCTCTGTCCTTGAGTGTTGACCTATGAACCGGGAAGCACAGTAAGCCAGAACCGTGAAATGACACAAGTGTGTGCAGCTGCACTAGGCACGGCCTATTTCCTGAGCTTTGGTATCTGTGATGGTTAGTGTTATGTGTCCACCTGGCTGAGCTAGAGTATCCGATTGTGTGACTAAACACAAATCTAGATATTTCTCTGAAGGCATTTCTTGGATGAGATTAACATTTAAATCAGGACACTTTGAGTAAAGCAGATTACCCTACAAGATGTGGGTGGGCCTCATCCAATCAGGTGAAGGCCTTATGAGAAAACACCCTGAGGTCCCCTGAAGAGTCCTACCAGCAGACCCTGGCAACATCAACACTTACCAGAATTTTCAGCCGGCCGATCTGCCCTGCAAATTTCAGACTTGCCAGCACGCACAATGGCATGAGCCAATTCCTTAAATCAGTGTCTTGACAGATAGTGATATAGATCCATATATATATACACACACATATATTTTTATTCGATTGGTTCTGTTTCTCTAGAACAGTGGTTCTCAACCTTCCTAATGCCGTGACCCTTTAATATAGTTCCTCATGTTATGGTGACCCCCCAATTTCATTGTTACAAATTGAACATAATTAAAGCATAGTGATTAATCACAAAAACAATATGTAATTATATATGTGTTTTCTGATGGTGTTAGGCGACCCCCTGTGAAAGGGTCGTTCGACCCCCAAAGGGGTGACCCACAGGTTGAGAACCGCTGCTCTAGAGAATGCTGACAAAGACAGTATTCCCTTTCCTCTCTATTTAGACCTCTATGATGGCACATTGAGGCCATCCGGAGATCAGGCATGCTTCTTTTATTTTCTGCACCATTTCCTCCTCCTCTACCGTGGATGGCCAAGGCCTCTGTGGACAACCCTGGAAGGCTTGTGTCCAAGTTAGTCGCTCACCCCATGGTTCTTCTAGAACAGTGGTTCTCAACCTTCTGGCCCTTTAAATACAGTTCCTTATGTTGTGACCCAACCATAAAATTATTTTCGTTGCTACCTCATAACTGTAATGTTGCTACTGTTATGAATCGTAATGTAAAGATCTGATATGCAGGATGGTCTTAGGCGACCCCTGCGAAAGGGTCGTTCGAACGCCAACAGGGTCGCGACCCACAGGTTGAGAACCGCTGGTCTAGAAGAATTATGAGGATCATAAGCTGAGGATCAGCCACAGAAAACATGCTTTCAAGCCCTGTAGTGCTGCTTCCTTTGTGCCCACAGTGGTCAGTGTGCCCTTCAGAGAGTTACCCTCTTGCCCTCTCAGCCTCCCCCCCCCCCCACGACCTCCCACTGGGACACTCCCACCTGGAGGGGTTCTATCCACCACCTGGCTGAGGAGGAGTGGGGGTGGGGGCGGGGGAGGAAAAGGGACCCAGATTCAGTGGTCTGGCTGAGGGTCCCTCTGCCACTTTCTTGTACTCCAGCTGGCTGCACTGACCTTTGCAGGGACACAGATTTGCTGTGGCCCCGCCTGGGGGGCCCAAGATGGATGCCCAAGGGAGAGGGAGCAGAGCTGATGCACTGCCCTCCTGCACTTGGGACAGCACGAAGCACAAAAAGGAGCATCAAGCCCTGGCTGATGTGTTCAGTGGTTAGAGCATCGGCCCATGCATTGACGTGTTGCAGGTTTGATTCCCGGTCGAGGGCACATAACTGGGTTGCAAGTTTAATCCCTGGCCGTGGTCAGGGTGTGTGCAGGAGGCAACCCACCCATGTATCTAGCATCTATGTTTCTCTCTCCTCCTCCTCCCTTCCTTCCACTCTCTAAAACGCAATGGAAAAATATCCTCGGGCAAGGATTAACAACAACAACAACAAAAGGAGTATCAAGCAAAAAAAATTTCTTCTTCTTCTTGCCCCCTCATTCTTGGCTATTTTCCTAATCTTCCGGAATGTTTACCATCTTTGGAGACATCGGAGTTTCGTTTTCTGCAGCATATTTTCAAAGAGAGAGAGAGAGAGAGAGAGAACAAAGCCTGGGTTGGACCTGTGAGCTCCGTCAGAAAGCAGCCTTCTTGGTGGCCGTGTCACCATTTCTCTCGATGCCTTTTGGGCTGGGCAGCACTTTTGTTTTGCTGCATCCACATATATTTGTCTATAAATAAAAAACCTTTGTTATGTGCAAATATTAACCAGAATCAGTGCAAAGATTAAAGAATAAACTTGTTACCGGAAAACAAAATGTGCTCACAAATTCGAGAGCCAGCAGGAATCTGGGTCATTTTAAGGGGAAAAACTTTCCAGACAAGGACCGCTGCAGCCCACGGTGCAATGAAGACAAGGTCAAGCCCTCATCCCAGTGCTGGGTGTCTCCTTTTCTACTTTCAATATGAACAAGGAACACAAACTCTTGCCTAATAAGGATTGTTAGAAGCCTGTTTAACAACGAGATGGAATCTTTTATACTCAGCTTAGGTTTGGGTAATTATATGTAACGGTTTTCAAATTTTTCTTTTAAAAATTTATTTTTATTGATTTTAGAGAGAAAGAGAGATAGAAACATCAATAATGAGAAAGAATCATTGATAGGCTGCCTCCTGCACTCCCCACACTGGGGATTGAGCCTATGCCCCGACCAGGAATTGAACTGTGACCTACTGGTTCATAGGTCGACACTCAACCACTGAGCCAAGCTGGCCAGGCTCAAATTTTTCTTTTAAAAAAATTTATTGATTTTGGAGAGAGGGAGAGAGAGAGAAAGAGGGAGGGAGGGAGGGAGGGAGGGAGAGAGAGAGAGAGAGAGAGAGAGAGGAAGAAACACTCATTCATTGTTCCACTTATTTATACATTCATTGCTTGCTTCTTGTATGTGCCCTGACCAGGAATCAAAATACCTGCAACTTTGGTATTTTGGGACAATGCTCTAACCAACTGAGCTACCTGGTCAGGGCCCCAAATTTTCTTTTTAAAACTATTTCTTATTTATTCAAAGATTTCTCTTGTAAGCCTTATTACACTATCTGATCATCCCTTGACCAAAGGGTTTAACAAAGATCAGCGCCCGCTCCTGTCTTGTTCCTGTCATCAGCGACCCTGAATTACTGAAGACTTTCTCTGTACATTCATGATTATTCATGTTCTTAGAAAAATCGGGGAGTCCTTGAGCTACAGAATAATTTGTTTATAACAAGTTGTGGATCCCATCACTGAGGCTGAGAGGAATGAAACCTTGTGCTCCCCTCCCCCAGCCAGTGCTACAGTCTGAGACAAACATACATCCAGATAGTGGAGGCATGTTTTCAACATAACAATGAGGCATTCTGGTCCTTTCTGAGTTTTTTTTTTTTACAGCAGTTATATTAATAGTCTTTAGCTAATTCTCCTTATACTATTATAGAGAACTCAGGGGTTTGTGGGAAGCCAACAATATGTCTTCTCAAATGTACTTCTTTCAGGTTGGGACAGTATGTTGATGACTTTTACAGCACATAGTTCAATGCTGTATCTTTCTATACAATGCCACTGCACTTTCCACAGTATAAGCTTTGTGCTGTGATCGGCACAACTTCTTCAATGTATTCGCTTCCCCCATTGGCTCACTGATTCCCCAAACTCAGTAAATCACTGTTACTGGGTGTCGGTTGGCAGAAATTAACCAGCTTCTGTAACAGCTTATTTTTATTCAGTGTGCTCATCTGGGAACTGGTGATTTATAAATAAAAATTTATTATTTACCATTTAGGAGACTGGAAATATTACACACATGGAACTTCAGAAATAAATTGTCAGCTATGAGGCAATATATTTTTGATATATTGCAGAGATTTATTTCCTACATCACCAGTGTGCCCAGATGGGCCTCCTGCTTGTCATACGAAGATAAATTCCTCTGGGTAGCATCCCGTGCTCTGGAAGGTTTATCTCCCTCTTTTATAGCCATTCTTCCCCTGGGTCCTCATCTATTTTCTGTCTCCTTGTCAACGGCGCTCAAGGTGTGATGCAATAACCCGAGGGCCACAGAGTAACAGCTCGGGCTTGTGTTAATGTGGCACCCTCCTCCAAGGGGCCAGAGGTGCGCGAGGACAGGATGCAGTTCACGCATTCTCTGCGGGAGAATGGCAGGTGTTATTATTTTCTGACCTTTTTTAAAAACAAAATTTCACAGGCACACAAGTAGAGAGAAGAGAATAATGAACCGCTGTGTACCTATCATTCCGCTGTAAAATTATTAATATTTTACCAATTTTATTTCATCTGTTTCCCATCCTTCCCCTCCACCCCTTAAGTACTTTAAAAGAAATCCCAGATATCATGTTATTTCACTGCAGTAGAAACAAGCATTATTAATTCTATTTTATGGGAAAATAGAAGCACTGAAATGTTAAGAATCTCACCCAAAAGAATACAGCGAGTCTGTGGGGAAGGAAGGTGTCAGAAGTCGATTCCCTCTCTCCTAACACTGATTCTATAAGTGAAATCAAACTATCCCCAAATTGATTTCCTCAGTTACACAGAGAGTGTGTCACCCACACAGTGTCAGCTGTGGCAACGATATTCGAACAGATTACTCACATAGATGGATTTATCTCAGCCCGAGTATTTAAATAAATTAAAAGAGTTCACTTCCTGGAACTATAAATCAGAGTCCCTTTAAAGAATAACAAGGAAGTTAAATCCCCGAAGTGACATTTACTCAGAAGAATGCTATTTGAAATCCAAACATATGGAGTCATAAAGAATAAATGTGCGACCTCCGGTCAATGGCAGCTCTAGAAATACTTGTTTTGTTGCATTGGCAAAGCTAACATTCCTGCAAGGAGGACTTACAGCAAAGGCCGTCTCCCACTGAGACACCTTGAATGTCTGGGTTTCCTCCTGACTTCTTTTTGAGCTTTGGGTACCTGGGCCTTCCCTGACATGGGCCAGGCATGTCACCACCCTCCACTGTCCCCACAGGTGTGTGACTCTCCTGGCAGCTCTCAGAGGTGATTTGGGAATTTCCTTCATCCCCTGTGGTGCTGCTGGAAGCTGTTGTACTAGTATAGCAAGGGATTTGGCCTGTTTTTGTCCCTAGTTCGGAGGCAGCCTTTAACCCCTCAGACCACACCAGTCTATGCTAATGAGGTGGGTCCTGCCAGCCCCTAAATAGCTTCAGGATGAGGGCACATGAGGCCAGAAAGACCATCAGGGGTTCAGAGAGCTGGGACTTTGAGCCAAGTGATATGAGGCTGACCCCTTGACCTCCAGGGAGGGGAGGGGAGTTGGAGATTGAGGTCAATCACGTGACCAGTAGTTCAATCGTGCCCCTGTGATAAATCCCCAATGAGAACTCCAAACATGGGAAATCCATAGGCGCATCTTGGTTGGAGACACACGTGGATGTGCCAGACGGGTGGCACCTGAGGCTCTGCATTGGAGGCCGCCCAGACCTCACCCTGTGGGTCCCTTCTTTGGGCTGGTCCTGATTTGTACCTTTTATGGTAAAACTACAGTGCTTTCCTGAATTCTGAGTCATTCTAGCAAATGATTGAACCAGAAGGGTGGTGGGAACCCCTGAAACTATTCTCCAGTTGGCCAGAAGCACCAGTGGCCTGGAACCCTTCAAGTCTGGGTGGGTCTAGAACGGAGGCAGGCCTGTGGGAGGCTGTGCCCTCGCTCCGTGGGCCCGCACTAGGCTCCAGAGTTGGTGTCAGAATCGCTCTGCTCAGCCCAGCACACTCTTCTTGGGCCCAAAGGTACCTGGTCACGATCAGTCCTGCGCCCACCCCCAGATCGCAACACAGCGCCTCGGGGGGCTGGGGGCCCTTTCCCTTGGCCACACAGGCGATGCACAGTCCCAGGCACCTCGAGGGAAGGAGCTCCAGCCCCTCCTGAGCTAAGGGATGGGTCACAAACAGTCCAGCGTTTCTCTCTGTTATTGCTTTATTTATGTTTTAAAACAGTCATACTAGATTTTAATCATTGGATAACACACGTTGTTACAATCACTTTCTCCCACCTGCTCTGTGCCCTGAGGGCCACCTGCACAGGCTGCTCCCCCGGCTCCCTCCTCCAGGCTTCCAGGTGGGCTGGCCAACGGCAGTCACTGTCAGCATTCACAGGGTGGGAGGAAAGTGTGTGTGGGGTTATACCCGGTCACCATGAGTCAGGTCCCTCCTCCCAGCTTCATGCTGTCACCTGCCTCCCAGATTCTGGGAACTGCTCCCTGCCTTGTCCTTCCCTTGATGGGCAAACAGCTCCTGGTAACCAGGCAGTAGGAACTAGCACTGCAGCATCCCTTGGCCACAGGCCACAGCTCGGAGCTAGTGCCAGGTAGTGTCCTCAGATTGCCTGGTCTGCGTGCTTTCTGTAGTCCGCTGGCCCTGGCCAGGCACAGGAATGGGGAGAAGGCAGCAGGAAGTAGCCTGTGCCCTTTGGGAGCGGCTGCCACCTACCCAGCACCAAGGGCTGTCTCAGGGACATCCTGGGTAGTTCTGGTCAGAAAGTTCAGGTGAGAGGAGATGGGCCAGCGAACACCAACCAAGAAATGCCAAAGTGATATTGGAGTAACGGGCAGCACCTGCACCACTCCAGTGCCCCCAAACAGAGTTGCTCAAAGTCTGGTCGCTTCCACCTGCCTCCAGTCACTAGGCATTTGTCCAAAATACAGATTAGTGGCGCTGAAAAGGATGAATCTTAGCTGAACCTCCGGGAAACAGCGACCCAGAGAGCCCCCCACTTCCCTGTGTAATTTAGGTAAGACTTGCTGTCTGCTCTTCCTCACAACGGGGACAGGACTCGCAGAAGATGCCTCTTACACACGGGACCCCCCAGTCCCGCCCGCCCCAGTTTCCTGTTCTTTGTCTCATGAATGCTCAGTTGAGATTAGCGTTGTTCTGTGAAACCAGCTGGACACAGCGATGCGCATTTCCCTGTCAGCTGCCTGAGAGGGCCCTCCATTGCTGACACTGATGCTCTAAGTCACCCTGCCTGGGACTAGTCCGGCCTTTCCGTAAAAGTTCAAGGCGAGACCACCCTGGCAGGACTCTGATCTTTGGATGTGGCCTCTCCTTCCTGTAGCAGCCAGAATAAAACCAGTCTCCTTACTTGCATGTTTGGTCCTGACAGCCCAAGCCAGGGATTGGCATTTTTGCTAGCACCCTGGGGTGATTCCTACGGGGTCAAGTTTGAGCCATTCCTCCCTGGAGGCCGGTGTGATGGGGAACATCATGGGGTCTATGCAATGGAACTCAGACACTTTCTGCACCAGCAGGTGAGGGGCAGGGAGTTCCCTCTCCAAACTGTAGTTCTAGCTTCAAGCTGATGTTCGTGGCAGCCCTGCTTTGGGCGGGAAGGGGGTGGGGTGGTGAGAAGGGGAGGTGGGGGGTGGGGGAAGCAGACTTTGTAAATAGAAACAGATTTGGGTAAATCAACGGTAAGAATTTTGAAGTCAGTAAATCAATGGTAAGAATTTTGGGGTCAATATATTTCTTTTTGAAATCAGCTTCAAACAGCCTTCTGTACATGCCAAGGTCCAGCCGTCTTCCTACACCAGCCCCTCCCCACTCAGCCTTTTATGGGCTTGTCATCATCACCCCTGCTGACAATGAATGATTTCCTCCGGGGAAGGATCACAAGAACCATCGTCCTTGCCAGAATCCATTGGCACAAACTATCTCTCTGAGTCAGAGCCTCAGGCCATTAGCGAGGGAGAAACAGCTGCAAGGGCTGCACATCTGCGAGTCATTTGAAAATTTTATGATGAATAAAAACTATCCATTACACAGACTTCTACATTATATATTAACCTAATGCCTCTACAATTACACCACCAACAGTCCCCTTTTGTTGTGCACGTTTTTTTCTAATGACACTCTAGCTCCAATAATAAATTCAGGTATCTAAAACGTCAACTACCCAGCAACACTACTTAAAATTCCCTACTCGACGTGGTCAAATCCTTAATAACAATAATAAAAACTGCAGCTTCACTGGAAGCAGAAGAGAGACCTGGAAACATCCAGCATGCTAAAAGCGTGGGGGGAGCATTATGGGTTTTAGACTAAATAATCAAAAGATTGAAACAAAAAAAATATATACAGAGAACATCAAAAGATGCTGAAAAATAAACCTTCAAAATGGTTCAAGCGCCATAAGCTGTTTAAGCTGTCCCCTGCGTGTAGACGACCCGAGTTTGCAATTGTGTAGCTGGCGGCACAATCAGGGTGCTTTAAAGGACCCAGTGGCACAATGACAAAGGGAGGTGGTGGGAACTGAGAGCCAGAGAAAGAAAAGGAACTAAGTACCACTCAGGTGGAGTGAGGGCCCACCCTGGAGATGAGCCTCACTAAGAGCAGTGTGTGCATGTTCAGCTACGTCCTGAATCATGTCCTAAATTTGTTGGTGACACCGCTCCCTCCCTTCCTGTGTCCTGTGTCCATGCTCAGGACATCCAGGTCCCTAGTGCCTAGGTCAGTTTTGGGAATGTCTTTCCCACCCCTCTCCTATTTTTCTCTTTTCCACAAACTCTATAGTTTAAAAATTCTCTCTTTGAAAACAGCTTTTGGTGGCATGAGGCCTTGCCAATTTCCATGCACTAAACCTGCATTTTTATTTCATACCAGCCTCCTTTCTCTCCTTAGCACCCCCTCGATCCGCGGCAGTGACTGGCCATATGTTCTGAAGAAGACGGTGCTTTACTTTGGCTGCCTCTGGCTGGCTCTGAGCTGAGGACGATGTATTTTAAGCCCCGCATTTAAAAATAAAAACCTTGGCAAGGCTTGTGAGGAACTAAAAACATCAAGATATGCTTGGAGCCTGGGCTCCGATTCGTGAGATTTCAAAGCCAGTGTTTAAAAGGAAGGAAGAAGCAAAGGCTCGGGGTGCCCAGGTGGAGAGGTTGGATCTGATCCCTGAGTGTAGGTCTTGCTCCTGGGGGTGGGGGGCGGGGTAAGGGGGGGGGTAGCCTCCTAGGACAGAGTAGCCAGGGAGCTGTTCCGCGGCCCAGGAACCCTCTGGGCGGCTTCCACCAGGGAGTCCAGGTGGTCAGTTAGGTCTGCACCACCTAGAAAACTACAAGGAAACTGCCCTCTTTTCTTCCCCAGTTCACCCCTTTTGTGCGTTTGCACACGAAATGTGAACGTGTGATGTGGCCACAAACATGTGACTTGGCCGCAAACATGCTATGACCATGTCCTGAGATGCGTGGCACCAGAAGTAGGTGGAGGGAAAGAGGAAGCAGGTTTTGAAATTCACAAAGCCAGAAGCTAGTTGGTGGGAAATTCCTTCAGTCATGAAAAGTTATAAGCAAAGGAGCTGTTTCCCATCCGTACCGGGACGAGGAATTCCTCTCCTGCAGGAATGTACTCCCGAGTGCAGCCTGTGCAATTAAACATGGGTTCACTTTTTCTTTTTCGATGGGAATCGTGTGAAATAAAATTTATCACAATACCTATGTTTGGGGCAGTAGTACAAACAGCAAGGACATCTGTGTGTGAAGTCACATTTTTAAGGTATCTAAACTATCAAAGAACAAATTTTGACCCAGCAAAATAGTACTACAAAATTGTCACGTCACAAAGCAATTGAAAGGTATGCAGCCACAAGTTTTTTTATTTACTGCCTGACACATATGGAGGTATGTCAAGCAGTTAATAAAAATATTATGTTATTTTTCTGGATTTTGTGAGGAGGTTTATGGTATCTACCAGCTTTGAAAATCTGTAAGGTTTTTTTCTCATTCTAAATAATATTCACTTTTATATACCTTACTTAGAATTCATAATTCTGCATTTTTTTGTTGTTGTTAAAATGAGCTCTCCTAATTCTGTAAGCTTTAGGCCCCTCAAAATCCAAATTCATCCCTGATAGTGATTTATGCTTTCTCCCTTTTTTTGACTATTAATTTTCATGAACTGTTCTAGCCTTAAGTAATATTCACTCATGAATATAAAAACTAACTGAAAAGAATAGTTCTAATACATCTCACTAAGAAATGCATGTCCAATAAAATTTTACTTTTTAAGTTTAGAAGTGATCGTTAAAATATGACTACTAAATAGAGTAATAAGCACTGGCTGGGTAGCAGAGTTGATTAGAGTATCACCCTGATACACCAAGGTTGAGGGTTCTGTCCTCCCTCAGGTCACATACAAGAATCAACCATAAATGTATAAATAAGTGGAACAATAAATCAATGTTATTGTTTTTTCTCTCTCTACTTGACTCTCTCTAAAATCAATTTAAAATAGATTAATGCCCTAGCCAGTTTGGCTCAGTGGATAGAGTGTCAGCCTGTGGACTGAAAGGTCCCAGGTTCAATTCCGGTCAAGGTACCTTGGTTGCGGGCACATCCCCAGTAGGAGGTGTGCAAGAGGCAGCTGATCGATGTTTCTCTCTCATCGATGTTTCTAACTCTCTATCCCTCTCTCTTCCTTTCTGTAAAAAAAAAAAAAAAAAAAAAAAAAAAAAAAAAAAAAAAAAAAATCAATAAAATATATTTTAAAATAGATTAATAATATTTACAAAAAGGCTTTAAGAAAAAATAGATTTCTTAAAAATTGAATATTAAAAACATTTTAAAGCTTTGATTTAAAATTTTGTTTAAATTTTACAATAATTTTTAAAAATTTAAATATTAACTAAAAAAAAAAAAAAAAAAAGCATTTTCTGCCCTGGCCAGTGTAGCTCAAGTGGTTAGAGCGTTGGCCCTCACACCACAGGGTCTCGGGTTCGATTCCCAGTCAAGGGCACATACCTGGGTTGCAGGTGCGATTCTCTGCCCTGGTTGGGGTGCGACCTCTCTCTCTCCCACCCCTCCCTCTCTTTCACTCTCTCTAAAAATCAATGGAAAAAATATCTTCAGGAGAGAATTAAAACAAGGTATTTTCTGTACAAGAGCCTGTCAGACATAAAAGAACTTATTTTGACACTTTTAAACATATAAAGCATTAAATTATTAAATTTAATTGATAGAAGGAAATTGAAGTAAAAATGAAAGGATTTCTAAACTTCAGTTAAATAACTGTGTTGTTGTTTTTTCCCCAGAACACCCTGGTTCCTAATAAAGCCCACTGAAATGAAGCAGCAGGCTGGGAACCATGGCGAGCGAAGCCTCGCGGCTTCCTGAGCCCGTTTCTATTTTAGACAGGCCTGACTTGCTCTGAAAGATGAGCTGGGTTCCTCTCAGGGAGGCGGCCTCCCGGCTCCTGGCTCCAGCCTCCAGAGTCTTTGGTTTCTATGATTTTTACTTTGTCAGGATTTTTAACAGTTTTGTCCTGTCTTGCAACCATGATCCTGTATTCGTTTCACCTTAGTTCTATATGCAAAGTTATTCTATGGCCAACCCCCGTCCGCTTACCGTGGCTCCTCAATTCCTGAGTTTCCATGTCAATCATCTCCTAGCTGGCTGGGTTTCATTGTCTAATTTTTCTCCCATGAAGGGCTCAGGGTGGTGATGCATTCTCAAAGAAAGCAGACAAAAGCAGTATCATCAATGGTTAGATGTCCAAAGACACGGAAAAGAAATAGGAAATGTGTTTAGATACACTACAGGACAATCGGCTGAAAATGAAAAACTGTATCAAATAATGGACAGAGCAGAGAGAACAAGAGACAGAGACACGTGGTTATCATCAAAGCGGCTCGCTTTTTATGCCTGTAAACCTGAAGGAAATATAAGCTCACCACACTCCCATAAAAGTTATTTATCAGATTAGCAAATATCAGAGACCATGATACTTGTTGTTGGCTAGGGTGTAATGGGACAGGTGCATTCATAAACAGTTGGAAAGATTATAAACCGGAATGACCTTTTGGGGAGGCAGTTTGGCTATGTCTATCCAAACCTCCAAGTTACCTGGCCAGCCAGCTGAGGAGCTTGAATCCAACATTTTGTCACTCTGCCTGGAGGAATTGCCTCAAGTTTCCTCTCTCTGCCTCGTTTCTTCCTTTCCAACTTTATTCTCCATATTCCTACTAGGATTTAAAAATACTTTTTTATTATGGAAGTTCTCAAGCACTTGAAAAGTTAGAGCAGAATCATGAACTTCCATTTGCCCATCACCCAGTCTCAACATTTACTGCTTTACCATTCTTTTATGTCCTCTGCTACAGCCCCTTCCCTCCTTTTCTTTTGTCAGAGTATTTCAAACAAATGATCAGTTGGTTCCTTTTATAAAACAGGATAGCTACACTAAATTCTTTTCCTACAGGTTAGAGCCTGACATGGACAGAATGTGTGTGTCCCTACAAATTCATATATTGAATGCGATGGTATTAGTAGACAGCCACTGCAGGCCAGGAAGAGCCCTCTTACCATGAACTGGATCAGCCAGCACCTTGATCTTGGGCTTTCCAGCCTCCAGAACGATAAATCTGTGGGTTAAGCCGTTCACTGCGGTATTTTGATATGGCAGCCGGGGCTGACTCACAGAGAGCAGAGCCCAAGCCTCATGATTCAGCCCTCATGACTCATTCCGGCTGTGTCCCCTCTCAAACGGGGTCTCCAGCGGAAGGACTGAGTTTCCTGAAAACCAACGGATGTCTCAGCATCCAGGCCTCTGCATATCCCATCCTGAGGCCTTGAAGACCCTCCAGGCTCCCTCCACAATTCCACCGGCACCTGGTGGACTCATGTCCCACACAGCCTTCTGTGATGAACGCCCACCGTCACCTCCTCCCCAATCAGCTCACTTCCATATCACCCCGCTGTCATTGGATACGGCACCTTACCTCTCGGTGCTTTTCACTAGCTTCCCTCCCTTCCCCGGGAGAGACTGTCTTTATCGTCTCTGAACAGACTAGGCCTGGCACTTAGGAGGCACTTACAATAATGTTTATTACAGGCCCATAGAGTGAAAATTGCTCTAGAAGAAACAGCACTTGAGCTGTTAATTTTTTACACCCTGGTGTTCAGATTCCTTCTAGAATAAGGGCAAGAGAAGGGAAAAGGGCCAGGGGGCCAGGGAGAGGAGGCAGAACCAGGGGGGCTGGACACCTAGAACACACCCCTTGTTGAGTCTTCTCTCTGGCCAGCCCTTTTATTCAATTCAGTGGTCTAGGGAGAGCCCTTTAATACTGGGGTCCACAAACGGGGGCCGCTCAGAGAAACCCTGCATAAGGCACACAAGCTAACAATGATTTTAACATTTTTAAAGGGTTAAAAAAAAAGTCTGTGCAACACTGAGTGTATGTATGTGGCAAAGCCTAAGAGAGTTCGCCACTCCCTGCTTCCACAGGACAAACCGACTTAGCGTCTCCCTCCTGCAGCATCCTATGGGGTGCAGTAAGCGGTGCTGTTGGTGAGCTCATTTCACAGGCCTCGGATGGCTTCCTGGGGCCAGCATGGGGCCAGGTCAGACAGTGCTGGGTGGCGAGCTGCTGAGCACTTCCCGGTTCTGAATGTTAGAGAGACAGGCAGGGGGACAGGACTATTAAAATACAAAGCATGTGCCTGGAGGCAGAATCAGACACTCCTTACCCCCCCGACCCCCAATCATCTGTGATTTTCAGTTATTAGCCAGCTGCCAGTAAACATCAGAGGATTTGACAGGTATAAGAGATCAAACGTCTAGAAAGAATCCAAAGTGCAGGTGACAGGGAAAATATAGAAGATAAAAACAACTGCCTACCTAATTTAGCTCAAACCTATTAAACTGGCTCAAAAAATCTCTCAGAGCCCGGCCGGCGTGGCTCAGTGGTTGAGCACCAAGCGATGAACCAGGAGGTCATGGTTCAATTCCTGGTCACAGCACATCCCTGGGTTGCAGGCTTGATCCCCAGTCTGGGGCATGCAGGAGGCAGCCGATCAATGAAATCTCTATCATTGATGTTTTAATTTCTCTCTCCCTCTCCCTTCCTCTCTGAAATCATTAAAAATATATTTTTAAAAAATCTCACAGAAACAAAAGAAAGACA